GGAAGAAGTAAACGGCGGATACCCAGGTCGTTGGCTCGAGCAGCCCCGTGCGGGCCGTGCGCTCAATGGATCGGCGCTCCCAGCTCTCCCGGGGCGGGCTGCCAGCGGGGTGTTCCACCCCGAAGAGGAAGAGGATGGGGCCGGTGGTGAGGAGGGAGCAGCCCCAGAGCGCCAGGATGACCCGTTTTACGCGGCACTTGGTGATGGTCGCTTTGGCTTTCAGGGGAAGCAGATGGTGAAGTACCTCTCCCCGCTCACGGTGGAGATGTGCAGGATGGTGCAGTACGTTCACGTTTCGCTCAGGTAAACGAAGAACTTGCAGAGAAAATCCCCAAAGACGTAGGGTTTGTACTTCCAAAGGCGGTGGAGGTCCGAAGGCAGGCCAAGGAAGATCAGCGTGTCAGACAGCACCATCCTGGACAGGTACGTGTTCACCGTGGTCCTCATCTCCTGCGAGCGTCTGAAAATGACTCGTTATCAAATCCCCAGAGACTCCCAAGAAAAACAAGATGATGGAAATTATGGTCACTGGCACCAAAACAGGGATGTGGAACAAAGAAAAAGACTCATGTTCGGAGGAGCCGGTGTCGTTCCTGACAGCGCTGTGATTTGAGGTGGAGCCCATGTCTGGTTTCAGAGCTGAAGGCAGGGCTGGTGGCATCTTCCCTGTCGACAGAAACCCGAGTCACGGGAAGAGAGGCACCTGTAGAAGTGAGGGTCCAAGCACCCATCCTCTATGCAATGATTTTCGTCTTCAGTTAAATTATGTTCAGAACCATTCAGCTGATGAAATAATACCCAAGTGCCAATTAGTCCGTTTTACAAGAAGCAAAGAAATACTGGATTCACACCCCCAACATTTGCCAGACACAACCTTTTAAAAACGTGATTGACTATTATAAAGCGATGTTTACCACGCTGATATTTACCCTTAGCTTTGCAGAGCTTGGAAAAAGAGCTGGATTTTTTCACTCTTCCTTTCAAGGCCTGTGAATCCCACCAAGTGTGTAGAGCCGGGTCTGGCAGCGGCGCTCCGGATAGATCGTGGAGGAACCGTGCGGAGAAGCAGCAGTCCTGGACGGGACCAGCCTTTCAGACGGTTTGCTAAATCCATCCAGCACTCGTGCACACCCTAAGTGGAAAACTTTAGGCTGAGAAGAGTCTCCTGGAGGCTGTGCTGAGGAGCAGGGTGGCTCGCCGGCGATCGCCGCAGGATGGCTGTACCGCTGGCAGTGACAAGGACGCTGCTGTGCCGGGAGGTCTCCAGAGCGCCAGGGTTCTGTGGCACAGGTTGTGAGAGATGGGCTGGAGCCACTTGACTCTTTTCCCGTGGTGCCCGTTCTCTGCTCATCCATCTTCCGCCCACGCCCTGCTAATGACACTGCCCCGAACACACGGCCCTGCGCCGCTTTCCTCCTCACCCTGCAGCGAGCACCTGCAGTTACCGAGTAGGGTAGAACATTTCTTGGACAATGGAAATTTAATTAGCACTATTTTCTATCGTTCTGTGTTTACTTAGGGCCTTTCCCACTCGAACATCCCTCCCCGGCATCTGCCGCCAAGTGAGAAATTTCGTGGCAGTGCTTTAACGACATTTAGCTAGGGTGGGAAAGCCTTAATTTGAACATCAGTCTTCAGAATGAGACAGTCTGACACTTAGCCCTGATTTACTTTCCATTTCAGAAAAGAGCAGAGATGACGAGCTGGAGAGTGCCAGGGCAGGAGAGGCAAGGGGAGAAGGGGCCAGTGTGAGGGAAAACAAGAGAAGGCTCTGGGATGCTGGAGGTTAACTGCCCACACGAAAGGCAACTGGCTCTCCATGTGTTCTTGCCACTGGTTTCCAGGTAGAAACACCCCAAATAGCTGCAGCTCTTGGTCGTGCTGCTCAGCCTGGAAACTCACCTCTGTGGTCACAGCACAAATGGGAGGTCTGGGGAGGGGAGAGAAGGGTCTCCGCCTGCTTTTGGGGTTAAGCCGAGAGCCCTTCAGCAGTAAGAAGTATTTTTCTTTTTCACTGCATCAGGAATAAATGGGAGGGATGGCAGACAGCCCGATGACAGGTTTCAGCCTCATCACCAGCCTGCATCCAGTCCACGGTGGAAGAGCTCCCCTCTCCCTCTTCCCTAAAACAAGGGGGGAAAAAAAGTGGCCTTTGGTTGTTGTTTTCTAAGGTCAGCGTCTGGAATTTATCCTCCTTTCCCTCCTCGCAGGATGCTTTTGTGTAACATACTCTGACTCATGAAAGTCAGATGACTTGGACGCTGACACTACAGCCCTTCCAGCCAAAGAGCTCCAGCAGTGGCGTT